AAAAATTAACGGAAACAAAAACACTAGGTAATTCTTCCCGTCTATCCTTGCCTTGATGGATAGAGTTGGTAGAACGTGTCAGGAATCCCATGAAATTAGTTTACCGGATACCAAACTAGTCGGTATTGGCTGTAGAAATACACATAGTAATCCCTACTTTTCTACTGCATTTCATCCTACAACGACCCTCATACCTTATCCATACAAACTATACTTCCCAAACCTCAGTTCAAATTCCAAACTAAACAACAACAAAAAAAAACTATACCCAGATACCGAAAATCAAACATAAAACTATACAACCAACAACGAACAATTTTTTACAACATATCAAAAACGAAAAATTAAAAAATTACCATTCCATGGCGTTCACCGGAGAGGAAGGAAAGTTTCTGTTGGTTCATAGCCTGAGTATAAAGCTGAGAAAGGGAATTAGCAGCGCTACAAAAAGTCGAATACATGGTTCGATCCACCTCATCAAGGCTCGATGCTAGAGACTTCCTTTTCTTCCCCATCTTCAATCGCCTCCTCCTAATCCCTTAACCTTATCTTTTTCAATCGGTTTCGATAACCCAAAAGAATCTCCGGCGAATTTTCGGTAGATTTCGACGAATTTCACGGTAGAGGTTGGTATGAAATTGTATTTGTAAGCAATTTGAGGTGTGAAAAATAGTAGTCGGCGTGGATTATGAAAAGTTTGGAAGATTACATAATTTCAAATTTTACTAAAAAAGTTTGCATTAGTTTTTTTTTTTCAAATTTGTATAAGCAATATAAAGTTCAATTTTAAATTAATAGTTTTTTTTAAAATAAAAAACATAAATAGCAAGATTTTGGAGCTTAATTATCATATTTAACATGTTTTTTTATATTTATCAAACTTATCAATATACTTTCTTTTCTGTGATAGGCTACCTTAGAAAGTTGTATTAGAGATTTAATACAAAAGAATAAATCGCTTGATCTTCATTTTTATACATATCTCTAATTCAAAAATAGATTACAAGATTAAATTGTTTTTTCTTTAATGTCATTGAACAAGAAAAATCTACATTAATTGATATGTAAACGATCATAATTATCTTAAATCTGCATTTGATGGTAATCTTGATTGATTTCTATTTAGGAGATTCAAATTGAGCTGTTGAAAATTATAAATATATACATCAAAATTGTGATTTTCGAATTGTATAGTGTCTCATTCGTTATTATTGTGTCATTTATCCATAATGTCAAATATTACCATTTTAATTCGATATTTATAATAATAAAATTGAAATTTCTCTCAAAATTTAAACTAGTTGACAATTTAATTATTAACTTTGAGCAGATTCTCAATTAAAGTACCAAAATCTATTGGGTAGATTACTAATAATGTAATTGGGTGGATTCCTATAGTTTAGGCAAGTGATTAGGGATGATTGTTTGTTTTAAAAAATTCTTAATTAATCATAAAGTCAATCATTTGATTCATTTTTTTTTCCATTTTATTGAGTTTGGTTTGATGATTGCTATTTGAGTTCAATTGAAAGGTAAAGGGTATAGAGTATGTTGTTGCCCATAAACTCAATTAATTTGTGATAATTCACATTTTTTTTTTCTTTATTTCGATTTTAATTGTCTATTTAACAATTTATCATTATTAAACAATTGTGGAGTGTATGTAATAATATATTTTACATGTGTTATATCTATAACATATTTACTCAATCACTTAAATAAATAAATAAATAAATATATGTTATCTACCATGTGTTATATCCAAGTATATCATTTATATCTACCATGTACTAGTTTATATTTGTAGCTACTCTTGAGTGTGAATAGTTATTAAAGTTATCAAGTTAAATGAATTTATATTGTTCAAAATTAAAGTGTCATATGTTGAATAATGCACATCAAAAAACATGAGTACAAGATTATGTAAAACTAGATCTTGGTGACATGAGTCAGGGACGAAGCTACGTAGGATTTAGGGGTTTATTCAAATCCTTTTCATGAGAAGATTATATTATATATAAGATCAAATTTAGAATTTGATATATATAGCTTGATTTAGTGGTTAAGAGGTTTAAAATTTATTCAATTGTTGCGGGTTTGAGTTCAATTTGTATTTTTTTGGGGCAAACAATATAAATTTCACTAGTTTAGGTCTTAATTACAAATATTCACAGTAGTTTCAAAATTACTTCTTCTATCACATTTCATTAATTGGATACATGTATCTCGAGAATTGACAAAACAAGATACACGTTTAATAACGGATTGTAACTAAAACGCTTAAATATTTAAGGAGGAAATTAAATCACTCCTTTAACAACTCTTGAATATATCTAGTCTAACGACTTCTAAAAAAAATCTAATTTCTTCCATTCATTTTCTAACAATAACAAAGTGAACAACTTTTCTTTTCTGAAATTTGATTTGTTTTCAAGAAATATACTCAAATATATATATATATATATATATATATATATATATATATATATATATATATATATTAGCTTGGGTATGAATTTTATAATTATATTAGATTTTATGTCCCGTAATTTTTTCATAAATTTATTAGATTCGTTCATCATCCATTATTATCAAATATATAAAATTTTAATTAAAAACTTTGACCCAACTCAAAGTCTAGAACTCAATCTTTAAATGGGAAAATTGTATATAATAGCAAACCAATAAACTAAAATAAATGGAGTAGATAGAGTTTGATTTAATTGTGCTTCATAGCAAACGTTTGCAAAAAATTGTCAGGCGCCTCTCTCCCAAATATCTCGCTCGCCACTCTCCTCCAATATATCGCTCGCTTCCTCAGTCTTTATACAAACATAAGTGTATAAAAATTGTTTCTAATTGTATAAAGCAAAGAAAATTGTATAAACACATATATTTTGTTTCCCTCTCTCCCCTCTTCCAGATTTCGCTCGTCACTCTCCCAAATATCACTCTCCACCGTCGCCTTTCTCACTTATACAAACAGAAGCGAAATGTATAAATTGCGTTTCTGTTTGTATAAAGCGTGAGAAAATTGTATATACACGTGCAAGTACATATATTTTCGTCCTATACACTTATAATTATACAACAAAAATACCCCCTGCCCAGTTTCTTTTGCCTTTCTCTCTTTCTCGTTTTATACAATTTTCAAATTGTATCTAATTTCTCTCTTTCTCGTTTTATACAATTCGATTCAATTGTATATTCCTTGTCAAGTCTCTTTTATCTTTCTCTCTTTCTCATTGTATACAAATTCAAATTGTATATAATTGTTTTATATACTTATAATAATACAATTCATTTTATACACCTCATTTTTATATAGGTCTCTGCCCAAGTGTCTTTCTCTTTCTTGTTTTATATACTTCGTTTTATACAATTTGCTTCAACTGTATATGTATAGCGAATTATACAATTTCTATATTTGCTATGGAACGCAATTATGCAAACTTTGCTATAACATACAAATATAAATTTTTTATTTGCTATATATAAAAAGTTTCCCTATTTAAATTAATATAAAGAAACTAAAATATTTTAAATAAGATATTTTATTTATTCAATCTTGTCATTCAAGAAATATTATTATACAAAGTTATTAAAATCGACACATATCTCATCTCAAACAATAATAAGGCAGCAAAAATGGAGTTTCTCATATAATACGTGTGAGTTTGATCCAACTAATGTCAATTCCTTTTCCTTTCTCGTTTTGGTAAAAATTTGCTTTGTATTAAATATTATATCAAATCAATAAATATAATATTAATTTTCAAAATATAAAATAAAATTATTTTAGTGAAGGTGAAATTTGTCTATAAAATCTGATGTAGAATTTATGGTCAAATAAATATTTGAAGATAATTTTTCAAAATTTATGATCAACATCGAAAAAAGGTGTTTTTTTTAAAAAAAAAATAATAGCAAAGCTTGCTTTTAAGAAATTGTTCCCCTAAATACTTTTAGAACCGTGACTAAATACGCATCGTGACATAATACTGACAAAAAAACTTAGTAAATTGTTCTTTCAAACAAATCTTATAAAATTAATTTTCAAAAAACACTTCTTAAAATGAGCAGAGTTTGAACAAATAAGCTATTAATCATAATTAAGTAATGTATTTATTTTAGATATAAATACAAATATATATTAGTAAGCATTTACCCTATACTTGTCGAGGGGCGAGTCAATTCGGAAAGGATAAAATCAATTGCGGAGGGTGGTGGGGTGGGGTGGGGGGTGGAGGGGCTTTGCTTTATTATGCGGAATAGGGGGAACTTTTATTTTGTTATATCATCACAGCAATGGTACATGAACCTTGTAACGCTTTTTATATGACACAAGTATATCAACATCAACTGTTTTGTAGATGGTTTTGCAACACGTTATTTTAAAATTTCAGTGAACTCGACTATAGTTGATTAAATTGAATAGATGTATAGGGAGAATTCACTTCGAAGAGACTTTTGTTTTGGAGGGTTGGGAGGGTGGGAGGAGGATTTCAATCGATCTGGATTTAGAAGATTTTAAACTGACTTGTGTAGATATAGTTGAGCTATTACACACAATTAACAATTCACCCGACATTATCTATAACAATCAATCTCGAACCACTAATTTGAAAACTTGAACCTTACGAGTTCAATCCAACAAAACTCCCAACAACCTCTACTTAGGCTTATTCGAGTCGATCGAAAACCAATTCGATCTACTCCGATTCTAAATCAACCCAACTCGTTTAACAAAGTTAATTTACCTTTTTACTTTCTTGATTACTCAAACTCACAATGTCTTTCAATACTTCGTTGATTACTTGACCAATCATTCAATTAAACGTGAGAAATCTTTACCATCCGAGCCAAAAAACACACTATGAAGCACATGGACCAAGTTGGAAAATTGTACATTCCTCAACTCCCCCACTATACCCCTACCACCCACCACCCTCTCCATCATCTTTGATACATGTAAACACAACATGTCATACACTTGATACAGTTGTGTGTGTTTTCTTCAACTTCTTTCACTTCTTATTTGTCAAAAAAAATCTACCTCACAAATCAATCAAAACTTCCTTCTTTCTTCCCCAATTCCTCCATTTTTTTGCTTACATTCACACAAATACACTCCAAAGTTTGTTCAATTTGGTTATATATATACATATATACGTATAGTAGAGACCCAGTTCGCACGTTAAGATCTGCATCTAAAACGCGTCACTTTCATTTCTCCTTACTTCTCAACTGGTGAGTTCAATTATTCACTTTTTTTTTCTTTGACAATTGGATGTGTTGTTATTGCAAATGTAGATCTGTTGAATGATTTATGAGAATTTTGATTCACTGATTGCAATTTAGGTTTTTGGGAATTTAGATCTGAGAATAGTGTTGCGTAAAAGTTTTGTTAAATTTTGAAGCAAAGTGTGGATCTGCATCTGTGATTGATGCAAATGCTGCGATTCTAGTGATTTATGTGATTTTTAATCTATTTTTCACTGTGTTATTGGATTATACAGGTTGAAATGGATAATGAGGATTCATATAGTTAAATCTAACTAGTTTGGGATTGAGTTTTAGTTTTCTTGATAACTGTGGTGTCCGGCTGGTAACTTTGTCTACCGTATGGGAAGAGATCACCTAGTGTTTTGGTCTTTGCTGGACTCACTTCATTGACCATTAGGCCACGCTCATAGGTGCTTGTTGTATTCATGAGTGATAGAGTTAATTTAGTTCATTTGGTTTGCATCCTTGAGATTTCTTTGATCTTTTTATGCAATTTGTGATTTTTACTAGCTGATACTGCTTTTCGACTAGAAAAATAAAAACTAGTTGAAGAAAAGAAGGGGAAAGAGGAGTTATGATTATGGTAAATTGTGGTGGAGTTCCACTAAAAGTTTGTTTTATACTTGATCGTATGGTGAATTGTTTCTTTCTTTTCTTGTTGTATTCACTTTTCCCTTACTTTTAGATCTTATTAGACCATTGCAATTATGGAAATGTATTATTAACTTCATTGTCTTACTTATGCGGTTGGGTTATAGAAGGGAATTGTTTGTTTGCTTGATCTGTCTGTTGTGGATCGTAATGTTTTCTTCTACGTATCGTAGGTGGGAAGAGCAAATAAAAGATTTGGAAATTTTGATGTAGAAGTGTGAATGCTTCTATTTGCTGCTTGGAGGGTAAAACTTGTTTCTGGCAGCAAAAAATAAAGGCAAATGGCTCCTTCAAGCAAGGCTAATAAGAAGGCTGCAGGTGATGTGGCTGCATGGATGTTCAATGTGGTCACTTCAGTTGGAATCATTATTGTTAACAAAGCCTTAATGGCTAACTATGGGTTTTTCTTTGGTAAATTTCTCCGCGATATTCCATCACTTTCTCAGAACAGCATTCCTTTGTATTAAGATTCCAGCTACATTGGTTGTATCTATTAATTTCAATTAAAAGGAATCTGGCTATAATATCACGAAATATACTATTCTGAACTCTATAATCTACAATGTTATAGCTATATGCATTGCTTTTTTAAGAAGGAAAAAAAATAAAAAAAATGAGTCTGATGGGACATTTAGCACCAAGAGAAACGCATGCTTCTTTGAACTGAATCTCACAATTTACAGGAAGTTCAAAAATTACTTAGCGGATATGAATTTAATACTTGTCACATTGAAAAGAGACTCTAAGACAAACTTGAACTTAAGCAGGTTTACAGCACCGGCATTTTCATGTAAAAGCTAAAAAAAAAATTTTGCTTGTTGGACAATGAAGATTTGACATTACTATACACTTTTTTCAGTCTTTCTGTTATATGATTGTTCTAGCTTTTGATTACAACAATCTTTGCAGCAACAACATTAACGGGGATGCATTTTGTTACAACAACTTTGATGACGATTGTTCTAAGGTGGCTCGGGATCATCCAAGCTTCTCACTTACCCCTTCTAGATCTTCTAAAATTTGTACTGTGTGCAAACTTCTCTATTGTTGGGATGAACATCAGTTTGATGTGGAACTCGGTGGGATTCTACCAGGTAATTCTACCGCGCATCACATTCATCCTGCTCTTCTGATTCTGTTGAGAACTTCAAATTCTAATCTCCATTATCATTCTCAGATTGCAAAGTTGAGTATGATCCCTGTCTCCTGCTTACTAGAAGTTTCCTTTGACAAGATCCGCTATTCAAGGGATACAAAGCTGAGCATTGTTGTGGTACTCCTAGGGGTTGCTGTATGTACAGTTACGGACGTGAGTGTTAATACCAAAGGCTTCATTGCTGCCTTTGTAGCTGTATGGAGCACTGCTCTACAACAGTATGTAAGTTGTCTTGGCAATTTATTAACTTATGCCATCTTGGAAAGCTTGATTTGATCAGTTGAATAACACACCATTACACCGAGGGAATAGATGCACCATCAATAAGGTGCAATTTGATTACCGGATTAGTAATCCAGGTATTATAGCACAAGGGTCCAGTTGAGTGTTTTAGGTACTCTGTTAGAGTAACAGTTTGGAGATCCTATGATTCAAATCCAGTTATTGTACTAGGCGTGAGCCCATCTATTCTTGTCTTAGTGCGAGCACAGTTTACTTGGAAACTTTATTTGTGGTTGTAGCAGGCAGTTTAGTGGATTGGTTGAGTTGCATGCCACTTAAGTTGGAGACAACAATCGTGAAAAAGTAGTTATGCAAGGATTCTAATAATTCAAGATTAGTTATATTAAATAGTGTACTTGTAAACTTTTTAGTTTTAGAAAACCTAAAGGTTTTGTAAGAATTCCTAACTTTGTTTTTATGCAAGTTTTGAATTTTGTTTATGTTTAAACATAAACCTCCCTACATTAAAGGCATTTTTGTGCTTTGCTGCTCTTATCGAGGTATTGCTTCTGTGCACATTTTATTTAACATTATATACCCTATAGAACATAAGTGGGCTCTTGCTGTCCTGCTAGATATGCTGGTATTGCGTCTGATGAGTTTTATATAGGAAGCCAAAGGTTGTATTAGCAACACAAAGTTGTAATAGTAATATAGAGTTTTATATGGGAAATCACACTCTATCTTAGTCAATTTTTTTGGACAAGTAAAATGAAACGTTTTATAGATAATGCAAAGTTTGTTAGGAAACAACAAGACCTAAGCCTCATCTAGAAATTGAAAACTTGTTTTTTGGAAAATTCTGTACAACTGGTCACTTCTGTGCTTGACTTGGATTTGAAAAAAATAATATTTACTCCTATTTTTTAGTCTTCTAGTTTTCTGAAGCTCCTCTTTGAATGTAATTGCACTTGGTCAAAAACTGATATCTGCACTTGGTTTTGTATATGCAGTATGTTCATTACCTTCAAAGGAAATACTCCCTTAGTTCTTTCAATTTGCTGGGACATACTGCACCAGTTCAGGCTGGAAGTCTGCTGCTATTAGGTCCGCTTGTGGATTATTGGTTGACCAACAAGAGGATTGATCACTTTGACTTCACATTTTCATCATCGGTTAGTACCTCACTCTTGAATTGTTGTTTGATTTGTTAATTCTTCATGAAAAATGGTAGTGAAAAGTCATTCTTATGTTTGCAAGTTGCAAGCTTGAACTTCTTAGGTATATCTTTTGTCTGATACTTTGATGTATGTTTATATTATTTCACTGTCAAAAAGTTGTGAATCTGCAATATTGATGAATTACGACTTTAAGATGCACCTGTCAAATCACAAATGCTAATTGTTATATGGGATTGCTTATTTCGACCCACCAAAAAAGTTGTACGTATAGGTTCCAGATTTTGCTACTGCTAAATAAAAAGCTGATATAGAACATTCAGACCAATGTTCATCTCATGCAACACTGTTATTTTCAAGAGAGTAGGATTTAGTGCTTACCAATGTATTTTTGAAACCTGTGTCATGTGATCAGAGTGTATAAGTTAATTTTTGCCATCAATTGAAAAAAATATCTTATTTCCCCTGCCTATGTTGCATCTCTGTTTTTTTGTAAGTGGATGATGGACCTCGTTTGAATAGAAAACTTTGTGCTCTGGGTTGGCAAAGAAAGTTTAGTGGAGATTAGACCACCAGAGGAAATACTCTCAGTTATGAACAATATTCTGTCTGTATGGGTTTTGACTTTTGAATCCATGCTTTGTTCTATACATGGTACCTTACACTAATATAATAACTCTTTCTCTGCAGGCATTCATCATTCTTTCATGCACTATAGCAATAGGCACCAATCTCAGCCAGTTCATATGCATTGGAAGATTCACTGCTGTTTCATTCCAAGTTATCGGTCATATGAAAACAATACTCGTTTTGGTACTGGGATTCTTGTTCTTTGGGAAAGAAGGTCTCAACATACAAGTGGTAGTTGGCATGCTCATAGCAGTTTGCGGAATGATCTGGTATGGAAATGCCTCATCTAAACCTGGTGGGAAAGAGCGTCGTAGCCATTCAATCAAGCATGGATCAGATTCGTCACAAGCCGATGATAAGGTGTAAGATTTTCTAGCATTGAAGCTGAAACAGAAAAGATAAGCAAAAAAACAAAAAAACAGAACCTTTTATAGTCAGCTGACTCTACATACACAGCTCCTTCGATCGAATTAGATTTTTCTTTATCTTATAATTCATCTTTTTGATAATATAACATTAGTAAGAAAAGATTGAGACTTGGGTATAGAGCTTGGTTTCTTTCGTTCTCCTTTTCTATTTGATCAATAATTTATAGTGAGTGATGAGTTTTTTCTCTCTCAAGGAACTATTGGTCGACATTAAAGGTGTGTTTGGTTGGAAGAAAAATATTTTTTCATGATCTTTTGTTAAGTGTGTATTCGATCCTTCCAAGATTGTATTTCTTAAGTATGAGCAAAGCTACTCGAAAATACATTTTTAAAGTCGTAGCTACTCGATTTAAGCTCATCTCATGTTATCATCGTAACAAGAAAAAAAATATGAAAAAGGAGTCAAGAATAAAAAAAACAAAAAGAAGAAGATTGCCGCTAATGCAACTTTTGTTATATTATCATATGTGGAGCCATCAAAAATAGGTTTGGTCTGCGAGGTCAGCCCAATCCGCCCCTGTTTGGCCAGTTGATCCAGCCCACAAACTTCAGAGGCCAGCTTGTGGATTATTAATTTTAAAAAAATTTTATATATATTTTTAACAGTGTTTATTTGTCAAGATTTTATTGATAAATATTTTGAAAATAAAAAATCAAGTCTTTTGCAATATCATATCGTATGGTGAATTATAGATGAAGATGAACTTCTTAAGGAAACAATATCACATGTTGATTCAAATATGTGATCGAGAAAGAGGAAGGGAAAGCGGAGTCGTAAAACTTTAATTAATGCGTCACGTAACATTTAGTAATTTAGATTTATTGAGTATTTAGGTTGCCTGATATTGCTGGAAATCTTTTAAATCAGCTAGTTTTGTGGAAGAAATGGTGGAATGATCAACATTTATCTGCTAAATCTTACGTTGACTATTATGTGTTTTTGTAAATATTCACCGAAATGTGTGATCCATAAATGTGTTTTTGTATATATTCACCAAAGCGTGCGATTTATAAATAAATTTTTGTATAAATTATTGTCGTGTTCATAGACGTCAACGTTCAATACTCTTTTTTAAGAGAATAATATTATTTATTTTTTGGTCGAAGGGACAACCCGTCCCGACAGTGGCCCGCTTAGATCAACAAGGAAATGAGAGGAAAACAAAACTGAATAGATGACTTTTTATCTGCTGAATGTACAATACAAAGTAAGAAGGTTATTACATGATAGGAAAAATTCAATTCTAAAGCTGAACCAGCCTTTAGTGGGTCACTCAAAATATTAAACAACTACATCTACTTATTTCCACAAATCATGTTTGTATTTGGAAGTACAACAAACACAATCTGTGCCAAATGAAAAACAAAACAAGTGGAACTATCTACATGCCATTGTACAACAATCACAGGACTCTAAAATATATTTTCTAACTGACTTTTACAAGATAGGTATGGTATGGTACAGAGAGACCTAATATATGCCCCAGAAAAGTGAGTTTTCAGACTGATATAGTACAGCCTAATTCCCTAGCAGCAGTATCAAGAAATTGAGCAGACATTCCATTTTCAAGCCGGCTACTAGCTTCACACATCAAACACTTCTCAATATCCGCTTTCCAGTCAATGATGCTTATGCTAAGGTACTGATAAGCAGGATTATGGATGGCATTAACATCTGCTGCTTGTTTGGCACTTGGTTTTACTGAACCAGCATACATAATGTCACGAAGAACTGATGTACTGAGAGCACGGACATGTGCACTTGGATGAGAAACACAGCGAACTGTGGCAGGCAAACGACACTGCAATGTAAACCTAGTTAGTGTTGTACCTAAGTTTATCTTATCATTAAGTGCGAAGTAAAATTAAAGAATATAAGATAAACTTTTTTCATCTTAAGGGGGTGTTGGTATGGAGATGTTTTCCAATTTTCTCATGTTTGGTTGGTCAAAATGATGATATTTGGGAACATACTCCACCTCAGGATTGCAGTTGGTACTTTGTACTGGAAGAAGGAAGAAGTTGAATTCTCTTAAAGGGTTGATAGTGCACTGATATTAAGGGGGGATTTACCAACTAACTCCTAATGGCTCATACTCAATGTCAAGTAGTTACAATGCCATGCTTGGTGATCTAAATAGATTGTCTGAAGCTGAACTGGTTTGGAGTTCAATCATGTGGGCTAGCCAGAGACTGATGGTTTGGTAGGCATAGCATGACAAACTTTTAACCAAAGAAAGGCTGCGCAGACAACACATCCAGTTGATGATGATGTATGTTGTTTATGTGATGAGGGATAACTGAGACTCATCAGCACCTATTTGCAGACTGTCAATGGACAACTACTGTGAATACTGCTTTGGCTACTTGAGTTGGTGAATCTTCACCACAGAAAACTGCGAAACGAAGCCTGAGCTGGATGAAAAGAAAACGCGGAGAGAGTTTAAGCAGGAAGTTGTAACAGCTAAAGTATGGTGCTTTGATATACTATACTTAGCAAGCTAGGAATTGGAAATTTTTAGGAAATTAACTGTAAATACTGAGTTTGCTGTGACGCATACAAAAGGAATCTAGAGTTAGTTTCCAGCTCCAGGAAGGCTAGGAACCGTCACATGCTGATTCATTGACTCTGGAATTAGTTTTGAGATGCTGTTTTTTTTTGTTTTGCTGGTTCCTGATGTCTACATGCTCTACTCTTCATAGAAGACAGCTGAGATGCTAGATGCTCTTTATTTGTAAATATTTTCGGGTGTTATGGTGATATTCGCAGTTCACTACCCAAAAAAATGAGAAAAATAATAACTTCCCTAATGGAAGTAAGATAAACAAGCTTCACAAGTGACATTCCAAGTTTTTACTCTTCCCTTTCCTTCCCACAACCCCCAACGCTTGACCATTCCACTCCCCATAGTGTTTTGCTAGATTACATATAAATACTTTTTGGACTATATTTTTGTAGCTTATTTACTAAACACTAGAAAATAAGTAAGATACCCACTAGCTCTTCCTTCATACCAAGCATACCCTTACTGATCCCAAATTTGAACCAAGTCTAGAAAAGAGTATCACCTTCAATAGGTTTGTGAGGCCATCAGCAACTGATTGTCCAGATTCTCCCCAGTCAAGTACTGGTTGAATTGCTCTAGCTGTCACTTCCAAAAGCTGCTCAATTTTTTTTAAGGGGCAAGGATGTAAATATATCAGAAAATACAGAAGATATTGAATATGATGAATCAATCATCTATTCAAGTACTCACGAAAATAAAGGAAGTCGTAGCTTTCTGAATCATAGATTCATCAGGTGAGAAATAAGTAGTATAAAAGATGTTACCTCTAAACCAGAAATCTAAATATGTCATTACCTCTAGCTGTGGTAAGGTGCATGCTTCTCCATCGACAAGCATCCCATCTGTGGCCCGTAAAAGGAGGTCAGGGTTACTAGCCAGAATTACCAAAGATTCCGCTATATCATGATTCCTTATCAGTTCTGCGATCAATTTTACTATACGTTGGTTAATTCTCCACATTTGCTGACCAACTTCATCATCTTTAGCAATCCATGGTTGCAATTCCCTCTCAGCCTGACAAGTAAAGTTTGGCAAGAAAGTGACCAAACAAATATTGTGATGAAGACCTACTTACAGCTAGAAGCAAAGCGATGATAACTATTAATGCATGCAAGTCTAAGAAACCCTGGAACCGGAAAGGTACTGTACCATAAACATAAATGTATTTGCCATGTGATAACGCCAAAAATATGACAGAGAAGGGAAAACTTCCAGAAATTGCCCCTAAACTATTCGGAATTGCTCAATTTTTTCTCCATACAATTTGGGTCCGTTATTAATACCCTTGCCATAAGCAAATCATCCTATATTTTTTCTTTTAATTAACGGAACTCCAACATGAAATAGGTGGACTCCATGTGTCCAAATTATTTGTGAAAAAAGGTCCAAGCTTACCCCTTGTCTTTCAACTTTAGTTTAAAATTACCCTTGGCGTTTTGTTAGGAGTTAAGGAAAAAAAAGACTTTTTATCCTAATGCATCAGTAATATTAGACCAAAAGTTCATTGGAGGGCAAAATTTCTCAATTTCGGATAGGACAAGGATAGACTTGTTTCTTTTCCCTAGAAAAGAATGTAATTATTTGAAATAGCAGGTGTATCTGTTAAGCCATTTGGATCCAAATAAATATGAACTGTGCATACTAGCTGCAGCCTAACAAAAAATGATCATGATCTATAATGACCAAATACAGTTAAAGCGAAATCTGGACCTGAAGAACAATTGCTGTTGCAGCTTTTCCAGGTGCCGCTGATACAACATTGCATAGTGCATCAACCACCTGTAGTTATGGAAGACTGTTAGCACCATATAAAAAGCTACTAAGTATCTTGTGTATGCAGATATATAATGCAAAAGCAACATGTGACTAACTTAATTATGGACATTCTTCATGCTATCACACAAAAACACTGCATAATAATCGTAAAAAGCAACATTTTCTCATTTTGGCTCCCAATCTAACAAACTCAGTTTCTGCCATCATAACATTTTCACCTCCTACATTCAAACAGTACAATGATTTGCTTATTATGCCGCCTATACAGTTCTAATTAAGGTTGTTGGTAGTTACTGCTATTTTGGGCGTAAATGGTTTTTGTGGATGGGGTGCATGCGGAGACGGAGTCAGGATCTGAGGTTTATGGGTTTTGAATTTGGGACACCGACCTCAAGCTAGTACCAAACTGAGGTACGAGTACCAATGTTCAATATATATATTTAAAAGTATGAACCCTAACTTTTCATTGAAAATCACATTTTGGGTTTGCATTTGTGTAAAAGAGGAAGAAACAATGTTCTCCTTTCGTTTTAGAGAGGAAATGCTTTTTGCTTTTTTCATTTGTTAATCTTATGTTTGTTTTTAAAAAGTTTTAAAAAGAAATTTGCATATAGCAAAAAGGAAAAAACTGATGCGGGTTCATGATTCTTCTAAAAAGAGAATCAGGAATATAACTAAAAGAGAAAAAGAACCAACACAAGTGGGTTCCGAGAACCCACATCTTGGGAATCAGAGAGCTTTGATTGTCTCTTCTTTACAACTGAACTGTCCACATACTGGGTATTCTAATACAAATATAGGGTCTATACAAAAGTTATTGGGTTCATATGAACCCCTATGTTACAGTGGCCGAGTGCATGGCTTGAGATAACAAATTCATATTCATAGAGAAACCTATATAGAAGAAG